AGTACGGATAGGGTTAAACTAAACACGTGCGTTAGGATGGACGCGTCTCCCATTCCACTAAACGTCTGTTAAGGCGACTACCATTATTGGTCTTGCTTTTCTTGGACTGAAACATTCTGTCTGTTTTAAGCTCACCTCGGGGTCTCTCGTGGCCTAGAGGTTAAGGTGTGGCCTCTCATTCAAAGGTCGCGGGTTCGAATCCGGGTAGCGACAAAAACATTTTCTTCTCTAAAATTATCTCCTTTCACCTCATTTCCTGCTCTCTAGCATTGTTCTGTCGTCTGCTTTCGTCTCCTCTTTCTGCCCCCACCCCCTCACCTCCTTTGCCCCCTCAATTAGGCTCTTGACTCTTTCTGCAGCCTTTCTACTGCCACTCCTTGGCTCCCTCTTACTGTTGTCTTTCTGCCACTCCCCTGATCTTCTGGTAGGAAAGGCGCACGTCAAAGCTCCCTTGGTCGTCTATAATCGATGAGTAGGCTTCGGCCGCCACACGAGCAAAATTAAAAAATTTGCCTACCAACTGAAAAAGTTCAATGTGTCCCGCGCGCTGATATGACATTATGCAGTTGCGAGCGCCGTAAAACACTAACCAAAAACAAACAAACAAACAAACAAACAAACAAAACCCCCTGCTGATCAAGGCCAGTGTTGTCTGCGTTGGGACTTGGGTTAATGATTAGGGAGTTTGGAAGCTTTCTGAAAACTGTCGTCCGTCTTATTGGAAAAGGGTATCATTATTTCTTCCTTTAACAGACCGTAGAACAGGAGTTTTCTTCTACTTCTTTTGTATTGTATGTTTGTCACACTCTTGTGACTCGCTATTTCCGGAGTGCCTTGATAGTCGAAGCAGACTTTGTGCTGTTGAAACTAGACAGGTGAGCAGAGTACGTCTGATTCCCTGTAAGGACTTCTCTGTTGACATCCACCCCTTGGCGCTCATATTATGATGACCTTATGCAGTTCCGAGCGCCGTAAAACCTCTACTAAAACTAAAAAACTAAGAGGTTCCAAAAATGGGGTGTATGAACCCCAGGTGGTATGGGAGTCCACGTCAAGAGGTTCGTGAGACGTTTCTGAACGTCAAATCAACGTGTTCTGTAGTTTTTGTTGACGTTTGTGTATGTGTGTGTGTGTGTGTGTGTGTGTGTGTG